GCTCGCCGCGGCAGGGGGAGGGATGGGGGAGGAGGAGGCCCAACCTCCTCCTCCTCCTCCTCCTCCTCCTCCTCCTCCCTCCTCCTCCTCTTCCTCCTCCTCCTCCTCCTCTTTTTCCTCCTGCTCCCTCTCTTTCTCCTCTTCCTCCCCCTCCTCGGCGGGTTATGTAGTCCTGTGCTAAGCCGCGCGTCGCCGCGGCCTGCTCCGAGCGGGGTTGGGATCCGACCCTTTTTCGGGGGCGCGCTCTCCTCCTCCTCCTCTTCCTCCTCCTCCTCCTCCTGGTTCGATCGTGCCTTATTTGGGCCCTTGGGGGACCGCGGGCCGCGGGAGTGGCAGGAGGACGCCCGTGGACTTAAGTGGGGCCTGTCCCTCTACAGGAGGGATATTCAAAAATAGGCAACACATAGCCTGGACACGATTTTGTGTGACCATTTCAGCACCTGCAGGGCATTTTTTAGAGCATTCTTAATTTGTCGCCCCACAAATCCCTGTGGACCGACCTAGCTTTGGACCTACGGTAGAGGGAAACAATTACTGAACACTCCCCCTCCCCCCCCAAACTCATCGGTGGCACGCGCGGGGGAGACTGCGGTCGAAGTGCATCTCATCAGACCCACCGCCAACTTTGAACATTGGGGGGAGGGGGAGGCGTTGACAGATGAATTTGGCATGAGTGTTCGCTAATTCGTTCCGAGGCCCGTATCCTTCGAACCCGTGGGGGGGTCGCGCCGGCCGTGAGTGTTCCTCTCGGAGCCGCCGGAGGAACGTGCGCAGGCCGAAGGCAGCACCTCGGCCCTGTCGTCTTGACGTCGCTCCCGCTTCGATTCGTCAGGAGGGACAAAACACACAGACGCAATTGATCGTCGATTCCCCAGAAAGTTTCTCAATTCGTCAGGAGGCGCGTTTTGACGTCGCTCCCGCTTCGATTCGTCAGGAGACGCAAGTAATCGTCGATCCCCCAGAAAGTATGGGAAAATGTGGGAAGTGGGGGGAAGACAGGAACCCAGAAAATATGGGAGAATATGGGGAATCTGGTCGCTTGTGCCTTTTTATCTGGGTGTCCCAGTTCCCCTTTCACAGAAGAAGTACATCGATCGGCCCGTTCGTTTTGACGTCGTTCCGGCTTCGACTCTGGCTTCTGCGTCGCTTCGGTCGTTCGTCGTTTCGCGCTCGGTCGGTTGATTCGGTTCTGCGCGCTCGCATTCGGTTCCGGTCGGCTTCGGTTTCGCTATCGGTTCGGTCGGCTGTCGGTCTCCTCGCCGCACGTGCTCGCCCATGGCCCGTGGCGCCTCTGCACCTTTCTGCGACGAGTGCGCGCGGCGCGCTGGCTCGAGAGCCACCTCGTGAGAGCCACTCGCCCTCCATCCGCGCGACACGTGATCGGCCCGCCCCGCCGACACGCCTCGGGGTGCGACGGGGAGAAGCTGTTGGTACGGGAAAGCCATGGGCGAGGAGGAGGAGGAGGAGGAGGAGGAGGAGGACGGGGAGGAGGAGGAGGAGGAGGTTAAAACCGGTCGGGGAGGAGGAGGAGGGCGGGGAGGAGGAGGAGAGGAGGAGGACGTGGAGGAGGAGGAGGAGAGGAGCAGGAGAGGAGTAGGGGAGGAAGAGGAGGAGGAGGAGGAGGCGAGGAGGAGGACGGGGAGGAGGGGAAGGCCACATGACATCCTAACGTCGGTTTAACGTAAAATGAGGCGGTGGAGAGGGGCCCATCGATCGCCTTCTCCACTTTCCCTCTCTTTTCTTCCAGTGCCTCGTGGCCACGCCTGTTCCAGCTGCGCGCCTCTCGGCCTCCGTGTTTAGTTGCCTTCGCCTGCAGGCGGCCGCCTGTTTTCGGGAGGTGCGCTCGAGCGCAACGGCTGCAGCCTAATGCCCGCCCAGCGGGGGGACGGGGCGAGCGCAGAAGGGAGGCGGAGGAGAAGGAGGGGCAGCCCCGCCTCCCTCGGCCCCCCCCTCGCCCCCCCTGCGCCTTAGGGTCAACGATAGGGGGGGTAGGCAAACAGTGGATACCCGTGCACAGAAACACCCTGCTTGTCTCCAGGGTGCCCTGGGTTTCTTGGGTTTCGATGGTTCTGCTATTGCGAGCGTGACGTTCCTACACCAAGAAGCAATGGACGTCCTGGGGTCTCAGGGCTGGGTTTCTTGTGGAGGGTTTCTTGTGGTCGAGCCCATACTGGAGGGGGGATGCATCGACCCCCAATCGCTCATTGATCGCCTATAGGTGCCCGATAGCCCCACTCCGCCCAGGAAGGTGCCGATTCACTGTCGGGGGCCTTTCGCCGATCTATCGACGACGTATCGCCGATTCCAGGCCGATGCGTCCCCCCCTATGCCTATCCCCCCCTATCGCTGCCCCCCCTGCTCCGAGGGAGGAGGACTGGCATTCACATAGGCTTTCGGAGGCCCGCGCGGATTTCTAGAATCGGCGTTGGGGGCCCGATGGCGGCGCATGCAGCGCCTCCGCTGGCGCGCTCCGCGCGCCAGGAAGGGGGGGCGCAGCGCAGCTCCAAGCACGATCCGCGCGGACTTCCGCAAACTTATGTTTATGTGCTTCTTCCGCCCCCCCTCGGTCCTCCCTGCTTTTGCGGGAGCCGTAGACGTTTCGTGTCGCAGAGCCGCAGGGACAGCCGCAGGGACAGGTGGCAGGAGGAAAGAACAGCAGGAGGTGGCAGGAGGGGGCATCAGGAGAGGCGCCGCACAGGAGCATGGTTCTTTATCGCTTTGGGCATCATGGGCATTGTAGCCCCCCCCGCTCCCCCACTATAGCGTAACGTCCATTATAGCCCCGCCCCGCCCCCCCTATAACGTAGGGGTGGGGGAGCGTCACATTATGCCCCTCCCCCCGCCCCCCCCCCCCTATAATGCCCATTATCGCCAAAGCTAGAGAAACGAGCTCCAGGGGGATCCAGCGCCGATCCGATCTATCAGCGCGGGCGGGCCTCCGCACGTCTCTGTCGAGATAGCTTGCCCTTCCCCCCCGAAGCGCGCGAGAGCGAGCCGCGGTCCCAGGCCCTCGTCGCCGCGCTCCCGGGCCTGCGCACCGACGCCGCGCCGCGGCGTCTCGGCTGCTCCACTCGTGGGGAGTTTTGTTGTTGTTGCTGCTGCTGCTGCTGCTGCTGCTGCTGTTGTTGTTGTTGTTGTTGTTGTTGTTGTTGAATATTATTACTTCTAAAGAATAATTATTGTTGGGCCCCCTGGTGCACGCCCCCCTCGCCGAGCCTAGGCCGCAGCCACATTTTCATCATTTTCGTGAGGAAGTCTCAGGCAAAACGGGGGAGTCCGGATCCGGTTGTTTTGTTGACGCCCGCTTTCCCTGTCAAAAAACAATATAAAATGACATGTCTTGTTCTAACATAACCAAACTTCAAGAATCCTTTGCAAAAAATTGCACGAAGTGCACACTCGCGCGCGCAAGATGAAATCCTTCCAAAACCTTAGTTTTCGTAGCGATTTTAACATAAAAACATGAAAACCCCACTGGTTTTTCAAAAAAAAAGTTTCAAACATTCATCCCGCGCGCTCTTGCGGATTTCTTAGGAAACCCAATACTTTGTTCAACATTTCTGTCAAACGGGCTCTTGCGAGCAACTTTTTCACGTGCTTCGAACTTCTGCAACAACGGTTGCGCGCATGCCAGGGCCATCATCCCTGTCAAATAATACCATATGGGACACATTCGTTTTTTCTTCGCGCGCGCACGCCGAAATCTTCAAACACCATTGGGTTTCTTAAGAATTTCAGCACCGCGTATCATAAAATCGCACGAATCGCACCGTAGGTCCTCGAAAAACACGTGCACGGATTTTCCAAATTTCTACCCGCGCGCGCTGTCCGAATCCTTAAAAACAAATGGTTTTTCAACATTTATGTTACATGAGCTCGCGCGAGCTACTTTCGCACGCTCTTTCAACGGCGTTCGCGCGCCTGCCAGGGGCCACAATCCCTTGCCAAAAATACCATGCGGGACACATGCGCGCGTCGTCGCGTCGTCGTCGTCGTCGTCGTCGTCGTCGGCATGTTACCACAACAAGTCCGTGCGTCACCACGTCATCGAACAAAATCACTGATCACTGTCACATCCGTAGCCATCTCGGATCAAGGTATCGCTTCCTTCTCTCCTTTCCTCCTTGTCCTGCTCCTCCTCCTCCTCCTCCTCCTCCGGCGGGGGGCGTGAGGATCCGGCATCGCTGACAACCATCGGGACAACCATCGGGACCACCATCGGAACAACCATCGGGACAACCATCGGGACAATCATCGGGACAACGATCGGGACAACCACAACCATCAGGACAACCATCGGGACAACCATCGGGACAACGATCGGGACAACGATCGGGACAACCACAACCATCGGGAGAACCATCGGAACAACAATCGGGACAACCATCGGGACAATCATCGCGACAACCATCGGGACAACCACAACCATCAGGACCTCCAACCAGAGAGAGCTACTCACGTGTATTTCGTAGACGAATGAGCCAGTATTGCACATTGAGGCCGGAACGACAACCACAGAACAAGAATGAGCATGTATCGTCTCGCAACAACGGAAACAAGTCCTGTGGTATGCTGGCGCCACCCACGTGGTACCACTCAAAATAAGTGTCTTCGCTTGTGTGGTACAGAAACGGAAAAACGTCGTATCAGACGCTAGCGCCTCACCAGCCAAAGCAGTCCATATCATTGTAGGACCTACAGACAGTACCGGCGTCGTACTGGTTTACCGTGGTTTCCTATTCTAGCGTCAGGAACATGTTACCACGAAAAACCAGTACAGGTGTCCAGTGTTGGAACAGGGGGAAAAGTCGTATACTAAGCTAGCGTCCAGAAAATGTTACCACAACAAGTCACTGTACCCATGCGCCAGTGTAGTAGCCACGGTCGTCCGCAGGCCACGAAGTGAAGTGTCCGAACGTCATAGGGCGGGAAGCTGGGTGTGGGTGGTGGCGAAGAGTCGTTTGGAAATTTGGTAGAGCTTGAACCGGCCCCCCCACAAA